ATTATGACTTCTAATTCTATAAACAAATAAGTCTGGAAAGCGGATGAACGGAGTCATAAGACAAAAAGTGGAATTACTTCCACTTCAAGTTTAACTTATGTGTGATCATGGTCACGCCGGACGAGCGGGACATTTTCCATGAGGAGTCAAATCACTGACATTTCCGAGTTACAAAGACAAAGAGACCGGTTATAATGTCACATACTGTCATGTCGCATTCTGTTGTTCTCCAGTTGTTTATTAGTTGATACCCGCCGCTGGGGGCGGAGTCGAAAAACATAGTGAACAGCAATTAACCTGAATTACAACCGCTAATTAAAAGAGACATTGTCAATAGTACCACCATCTGAGAATGATTTAGGGCCATATTTTACATAACTAGTCCTTTAGTGCAGCAGTCAATACTATAAAAATTATGTAATTTATTAAGTTTTATTTTGTTGATGACAGTAAGAAGAAAAATCTTCAAGGCCGCCCTTACTTTAAACGCCTACGTTACAGTTAAAGTACATAATTAGTCTTTTATCATAATGTCAGGGCAATAAATAAAATGAAAGGTACATCTGAAATAAAGTTGAATTTTACTGCTAATAAAATTACTTAGGTATCTTAATAAATGCCCTTATGAATTGCTTTGACCGTAACATAAAATTAGATGTAAATGGTAAACAATATTCACTATAAAACATTCAGAGACAACTGAGTAAATAAAACGAAGTACGTTTTCAAACTCCGCGTTTTCCCTTTCAATTCTTCTTAGTTATCGTAGTAGTTATCGACTTAGAATGTTGTTTATGGCCAAAAACAACATTTGGTTAACAATTGGTATTTAATACTAGTATTTTTAAAGTAATAAAGTAACAAAAAAAAGCCTGAATTAAACTGTGCCAGAAAATATAAGAAAACAATTACATTTAAAAGTCAATTTCGTTTTATCATTTACTGTGATGTCTAGAGAAATGGAAAATTTACAAAATAAGGTAAATAATTATGAGTTTAAAGAAGAATTTATTGAAATAACAAATACCGAAGAAGATAAATTACCTTGGAAACATGTTTTACGACAGGTAAGTTCAAAAGAATATGGCACAGTAACTTTATTCCATGTATATTTAACACACCGACGTGAATGTTACTTGTGGTTACTAAAGGACAACATACGAGAACCCAGTTCTGTAAATAGTAGCAGTAAATATTTTCCAAGCCAAAAGAATAATGTTTTTTCTGTTCATCAGACCACCGCCCTGTGTATGACTCAAATCTAATAGTCAAAAGTCTATTAATATTTGATGTGTTCTCATGATTGTCACTTAGTACTAAATGTATTTTCAGGTTTTAATATCATCAGGTGTGTGGGCAAACTTCTTCACGCTGGGCTTGTGCCTTGGCGCGCCCACCGTCATCGTACCTCAGCTGCGACGTGACGCCAACTCTACAGACATCGTCAGCGATGACATGCTCTCCTGGTTGTGTAAGGAATTTGTTTCAAACTTTAATCAAAATTCATTAAATGTTTATCATCAAAGTAGTTAATATCTAATGAGTTAGAGTGTGATACTAATTTACTTGTCCTGTTTTATCGTATTTGAATTGTGGCTTTGTTTTGCAGCTTCTTCATCTAGCTACAGCGGAATGCTGCTGGTTATTATCCTCACCATCCTGCCCAGTTGTTTTGGAAGAAAGCACTGTTTCCTCCTAATATCTACAGTGGCTATGGGTGGATTTGTACTCCTCTACGTTTCCACGACAATAACACAAATATTAATAAGCACGATAGTACACGGCATCCTCAGCGCAAGTCATATAACTATCAGCATCATGATTATAACAGAATACTCTTCCCCACAATATCGTGGAATATTTCTAACAACTAAATCCGCTTCTTTCCTATGGGGAGTTTGGATATCGAATATAATTGGTACCTTCTTTCATTGGAAGTATATTGCATTGGTAGGAATCGTAACAACTGCTTATATCTTGCTTACAACATTAGTGTGGCCCGAATCTCCTCTCTGGTTGGCCAGCAAAAAGCGGTTCGGAGAAAGCGCAACAGCACACTCTTGGCTGAAAGGGGACAGTTCGACGTCAAGGAAGGAATTAAAAGATTTGATAACGTTTTACAAAGACGCTGCAAGTTTTAATACTGATAAGGGAATATTGTCAAAAGCTGACAACAAATTATGGAAGAAAGGTTTTTACAAGCCCTTGTTGCTGACAATATTAGTAAATCTTTTATACAATTCTTTGGGTAAAATGACTTGTACAGTTTATGCTTTTGATATTTTAAATAAAATAACAAAGTCAGAATCTGCAGCTTACTCAGGAATGCTGATACTGGATGGGGTTACTTTAGTTGGTGCTTATATTGGAAGTGGAGTTTCGAAGATAGTAAAAAGACGATCGTTTATGTTAATAACTACTATCGTCGGGATTATTTTCCTTTATCTTTTATCCTTGTTTATATATCTTGTACATCATGATGTCGTAGCTGATAATATTTACATATGTCTCATACTATTATCAATGTACTCGTTAGCAGTAAGCAGTGGTCCATTAATTATGTCTTCTTCGTTGATCAGTGAATTTATTCCGGTGACTAACAGAAATACATTCACTTTAATAATTGGAATGTTTGGAAATTTCTGTTTCGCGACGTTTTTAAAAGTAACGCCATATCTGTTTTGTTTGTGGGGATTTGCTGGTTTGTTTTTATTTTACGCGGTACTGTCTTCAATTTTTATAATTTTGCTGTACGTTCTATTACCAGAAACCAAGGATAAAACTTTAATAGAAATTGAAAGGTTAATAACCAAAAGGTAATAGTTAAATCAACGCTGTTTTAAAATGTGACCCCATATTTATGAATAAAACCTACAGTCAATTGCTTTTTTTATTTATACCGCAGTAAAAATCTTGAAACACAACTATTTTGTCAATTACAAATTAATTAAATGTACTATTTTAGTGTAATGATAAGTACGTAGTAATAGAGAAAAAAAATATGTATATCATTGAATGAAGATTCTAAGAGTTATGCTGTCTCTTTTAAATGTGTTTATCTGCGTTACAGGTTTCCAGCAATGAAGGCAAAATAACATTAATGTACTTGTCTTTATAATGTTTAATTAAGATAAACGTATTAATTTAAAAGTATAAACTTTTTATCTTTGATACGTGGAGTTCTTATTTAAATAACAACAAAAAGGTCAAAACTATGATAAGGAAAACATTTTGACAAACGAGTGATCTAATGGCAGGCAGAATTACGAACACTTGTGTAAACGTAATTACTGAAATCAAACGTTACCTTTTCTTAATGGGAAACAACACTATAGAAATTTCAAGATGATATATGTAACGTTATTAAATAAATAATTGTAAAGTAAGAAAAATTGAATTTATACCATAAAATACATTATACATATCATAAAGAAACTTTTTAAGTAAGTACATATTTACATACTCTTATTTACTAAGTTCATTAATGTTTTTATATTTGAATACTTAAGCTAAGAGTAACTTATGAATCGACATTTAAGTTAATACAATGGAGAGCTATTCGTACAAAGAAGTTATCGAGGAAGCAGACCACAAAAACAATGAAGTAAATAAGATAAATCGTACTTTTCTACTACGTCAGGTGAGACGTTTGTAATTTTGTTTTACTAAATAACCTTTTAAACTTTTAGAACTCATAGAGTCAGTTATACATCTGATATAGCTGATCTGTCTGTGATAAATGCTTTAGTAAGAGAAGTGGATCTGTTTTAATCAGGGACACATAAAACATTAATAGCTGTTAGGAATTAGGAGCTACAAATCAAGTGCTAATTTCTGACAACATAGTACATCAAAATTATGATTGAATTTAAAACTAGTAAATTGTCCACTGTTTCAACTTTAATGAAATAAATGGAAGGCACAGGGCCTAGACGAAAATGAAAATTGTTGTGGTTGTTCTAGATAATGGTTTGCAGTGCAATTTGGTCCAGTTATTTCTCGCTAGGCCTTTGTTTCGGATCTCCTACAGTTATAATTCCGCAAATCCGACGAGAGCATAATTCGACGGACGCAATAAGTCAAGAAATAGCTTCATGGTTATGTAAGAATAATTATGTATTATAAGAGAAGAATTTTACTAAATACATGTTGAGAAATTTTTAAAAGTTTGAATTTTTCAGCTTCAGGAATTGCGTACAGCGGAACAATACAAGTGATTATATTTTCCGTTCTACCTAAATTTATGGGACGTAAAGCATGCTTCCTACTTACTTCAATAATAGCTATGATAGGTTTCGTGGTTTTATATTTTGCCAAGACTGCTACACATCTTATAATTTTTGAATCCATCGAAGGAGTTCTATTTGCCTGTCAAATTACAATATGCATAATGATCATCACTGAATACTCATCGCCGAGATATCGAGGTATTTTTTTAACGATGAAATCAGCATCATTTATGTGGGGAGTATGGGTATCCAATGCTATAGGAACTTATTTCCACTGGAGCAACATTGCTGTGGTAGGATGTGTTGTGACAGCCTACATCATAATTACAACTTTGAATTGGCCCGAGTCACCATATTGGCTCGCGACTAGAGGTCGGCTGAATGAATGCAGAGTTTCACATCATTGGCTCAAAGGGAACAGTGACGAATCTAAGAAGGAACTAGCAAATCTTATCGAACGACAAACAGATTTATCGCGAGACGAAGAAAGTGATTCACAAAGCTTAAGAAAATTTTTTGCAGTTATACGAAGAAAGACATTTTACAAACCAATTTTATTGTCCATGTTAATTTTAACACTGTATAATTCATTGGGTAAAATGGCTTGCACAGTTTATGCTATAGATATAATTCAAAGACTCACAGGCAGTGAATCCAGGGCTTACACAATAATGTTAGTGCTTGACGGAGTCACTATTATTGGTGTGTATATGGGATGTGCTATTTCCAGATATGCTCGAAGGAGATCCTTCCTAATTGTCACTTCAGGTTTTGGTATAATATTTTTATATTTAATATCGATGTTTTTATACTTAGTGTCAAGTGGCCTTCTTGATAATTATGTTCTTGTGTGTCTGTTCTTATTGTTATGTTACACAGTGACAGTCAGCAGTGGCCCCATGATAATGAGCACATCTCTCGTCAGTGAACTGATGCCGCTCTCAAATAGAAATATGTTTGCTTTTCTGATCGGTACATTTTCTAATTTCATTTTTGCATCGTTTATAAAAATAGCTCCGTTTCTCTTTACAAAGTATGGTTATTCAGCAACATTCTTCATTTACGCTTCTATAGCTTTAGGCTGTTTTATTCTTATATTCATTCATTTGCCAGAAACGAAAGACAAGACACTTCTGGAGATTGAAAAGTTGCATACAGATAATAATCCGAAGAAAAATAAAATTAAAAAGCAAAGTGAAGTACCGAAGGAATGATTTTGATGTTAATATAAAATCAATTGAAGGTCTAAATTTTGACCAAAATATAAACACGATTACAATAACTTTATGAGTTTTATTGAGCCTTATTCAACATTTCATCGTCAACCCTAATTATCCTCGCGCTCTATATTGTATAATGTATCAATTTTTTTTCTTTACTTTTAAATATTAGTTGAATGTGTAGAATTAAATAAAACGATAGTATAATTTACAATACAAAAAACAGGGGAATTTTCAACAAAGATAAACTCGCTTAGCAATGTAAATATTCAAAATATTCCAGCTTGAGTAGACTACAAAAATGTTTGAGCGAGGTAATTGAACATAGTTTTGCAGAAATCCATTATGGCATCGGTCGAAAATTACATTTATAGACCAGTTAATAGAGACGTGGACAGTGAAGGTAGAAAAATTAACAATGGAGAAAGTAGATTAAATTGGATTTTCTGTTTACGCCAAGTAAGTGGAAAACATTTTAAACATTCAAGAAAGAAATGAGTATTTATTGTATTAGTACATTTATAATTAAAGACCTTGCCCTACATAACGTATAGACTTTAACGTTTTTAATTTAAATGTAAATAGCTATTATAGTTTTATACAAATGAATTAAAAGATAGTGCAAATGTTCAAGAAGAAAAACATTTACTACGGCAATAGCTGGAATTTAAATCAATAAAATTTGACAAGTTATTTATTACCTAGACTTTAATTTATTTATTTATTGGCAGATGTTGGTTTGCAGTGCAATCTGGTTAGGGTATTTTTCGAACGGCTTATGCATTGGGGCCCCTACTGTCATCATTCCGCAAATACGTCGTGAAGCAAATTCAACGGATGCTGTCACTCAAGTAATGGCATCATGGTTATGTAAGTCTTGATAAATAATAATGCATTGTATTAAAGAATTTACATTATAAATAACTAATTTAATTATTTCAGCTTCCGCGGTCGCCTACAGCGGTACAGCCCTCGTCCTTATCGTTTCAATTCTACCAAAATTTATGGGACGAAAACCATCCTACTTTCTCATAACACTAGTAGCATTAATTGGTTTTGTGATATTGTATTTTTCTAAAACATCAACGCATCTCTTTATTGGATTATGTTTCGAAGGAAGTTACTTTGCAAGTCAACTAACAATCTCTGTAATGATAATAACGGAATATGCTTCACCACGTTATCGAGGAATATTTTTAACCATAAAATCTGTGTCGTTTTTATGGGGTATCTGGATAGCGAACACCATAGGCACTTTCTGGCATTGGAAGAACATTGTTCTGCTTGGATTTGCTGCGACAGTATACAATATAATAATAATTTTAAGTTGGCCAGAGTCACCGTACTGGTTGGCCAGTAGACGAAGGTTCGACGAGTGCGCAACCGCTCATCGCTGGCTTAAAGGTAACGATGAGAAGTCAAACAGGGAATTGGAAAAATTGATTGAACGACATACAAATCTGAATGAAGAAAGACTGACAAATTATTTTAAAAGTAACTTGAAAAAGTATTGTGGGATCTTAAGGAGTAGGAAATTTTATAAACCGCTATTACTATCGATGTTAACTATAACGCTTTATAATTCTTTAGGTAAGATAACGATAACGGTTTATGCAATAGATATTATTAAAAAAATAACTGGAAGTGAATCTTCCGCTTACACGGGTATGTTAGTTCTGGACGGGGTTACTATTGTGGGCATGCATATCGGCTGCGGCATTTCTAGAATTGCTAGGAGAAGACCATTCTTATTTGTGACTTCTGGATTCGGTATTGTGTTTTTATATTCACTATCATTGTATCTAACGACAATGAAATATTTTAATATTAGTGAGAATATGTACGTATCATTATTTTTATTAACATTTTACACTTTATCTATAAGTATTGGGCCTATGATCATGTCGACATCTCTCCTGAGCGAACTTATTCCATTATCGTTTAGAAATCTGTTTGTCTTCATGTTGGCTACCTATGGGAGTTTCATTTTTGCAACTTTCATAAAAATTGGTCCGTTTTTATTTTTGACTTGTGAATTTTCAGGTGCATGTTTCATCTATGCTTCTTTAGCTTTGATTTGTTTGTTATTGTTATATCATTTCTTACCAGAAACAAAGGACAAGACGCTTCTAGAGATAGAAAATTTGTTTATAAATTTTGAACGATAAAGTTTTCAGTAATGTAAATTTGGCTTTGGATTTATTTTGAACTTGTAAAAAACATGTCCTGTGACATCCTTAAACCATTCATTTAACATAAATAGTGTTTTTCTTACAAATAAATGATCATTCGACATTTAATTCAAATCAGAGCATCAATCAATTTGCGCATACGACCTTTGCGATTAAAATAGAAAAGAAACGATGTATTAGAGATCTTTATATGGTTCAAGTTTTATTACATAACGTTTCACCGGTTCTTAAATGCATGAGCGGCTTCTACTAATAAAATAATAATTTTAAATTAGTACATTGCAATAGAACCTGTTTCTAAATTATCGTAGTCAAGCTTATAAGTGTTATTGTACAGACAGAAAACAAAAAAGTAGGTTACTTCAGTATAAAACTTAAAGAAGTAGCTTACCTTGGATGAACTTCAACTTGTAAGACTTCATCCCCGACCTTCAAATTCTCCGGTATCCTGACAAACCTTAGATACTCGCCCACAGGGTAAAAATTACAACCTGAAAACAAAAAAAATATTTTAAAAACTAAAACATCGAAACGTTTTACATATAAAATTCGATGTACAAAACAGTACAATCCTATCCAATCTTAACGGAGACTCGTAATTTCAATCGAGACGTACGTTATTCGCGTATCGCTTCACCCGCAGGCTCCAGAGAGCCGGCATTAAGTTTGAATATTATAATACCGTAGTACTTAGGGACAATGTAGCCATTATGCAACGCCAAAAACTTAAATGTTTTCAAGTATCAAGTATTCAAGTTAGACAATACAGCAATACTCCCATACTAATGAGTCCGGTATACCTCAATAGAGTCGAATCATTCATTGTGTTGAAATATACAATTGTCTCAGTGTTATACCGCTCTAGAGTAGATCCCATTCTGCTGTCAGTGAACTAAAAAATATGTTTGTAATGATAGATTGGCTCATATTCCCACTGTAGGTAAATTAACTAATATAGCACGAATCTTTTTATAAGCATCATAAAGATACACTTTAAAATTGACATTTATAGACTAATATTAGGACTAATTAATTAATTTATACGTAACGGCGCATAAAATAATTTTATCAATGTTACTTTTGGAAATGAAATAGATGTATTAACCTAAATAGCATAATTTTTTTATCAGTAAGGTTATATTCTATGGCTCTTGCTCTTTTATCGGTAGGTTAAATTTAAATGTATAAAGAAATATATTAATATTCAAGGTCGAAACTCTGAAATATAAAAAAACGCGTCGCTAATCGCCGCAACAAATTGATGTTCAAATAATTCAACAAAAATGTAGTAAAAACAGCGTGTAGAATTGACAATGTTTATTCTTATTTTGAAAGCAGATGAACAAGAAAAAATCATTGATCACAACAACCAAGCATAACTCAATCATTGTGTGCCTACTCTACTGTAACAAAGTAAAAAAATGTAGATAAAACTAGTGTCAGTTTTGAATTATTTAAATAGAAAAACAAACTTTTGCAATTCAACGCATCGATGTAAAGCAACAAATCTAGAACTCATATTTCTTTTAAACGGCGTTTTACAAAGCACGAAATGTTAAAAAAAACTCTTATCACTAATTATTTGGACACGTAATTATACGAAATAAATAATATAAATCAAAATAAACACTATCTGCATCTTGGCAATAAATCAAACGAATCGCTTTACCCGTGACCGGTTTAGCAAGTTGTCGGCAGTGAAGTCTAAAGATTTCTCATTAATTTTATTCGCAAAGTATTGGAGTTACGGTATCATCGTCAACAAGAATTTTCTCATCCGATGATCGGAAATTTCGTAACAAATCGGAAACTAATAGGCCGATGAGGCAATTGCTCAAACGTTAAAAACGTCTTTGGGTTTCCGTTTAACGATAAACAAAAACAAAGTGTTTAATATAAGCAGTTACTACCTCACTCATAGTCATGAAATATATGCCCGGAGTGTAAATTAAGTATGAGAATTCTACACTGCATCTATTTAAGAAAGCATTTCACGTACGGTAGTGTCTTTAACTAAAATCATAAGTAACCACACACAACAGTAAACGTAGCCAAGACTTAAATATTGTCATATTACGTAGACGATGTCATTATTCTTCGCCGTGAGATCGTGCGCTCATAAAAACCGACTCATCTACAGTACAGGCGCTGATGTGAATGCTTCAGATACCGTAAGCATGGGACCCGGGGCTAATCTAGCGGGACGTATCCGTCCTGACAAGATACTGCAGACGTTATGCGGTATGCTCACGATATCCATAACGATGTATGCATTTACTGTCAGATTGAGCACCGTATGATATACGTATATAATAATTATTAGACAAGCAAAACCGCAAACATGTTGAATTGCTATTTACAAAATTCTGGAATTTGGTCTACACGACCACTCACTTTCCTTTTCAGATTTTTGTGATCCGTTTCTAAGTTTATTTTAAAAGAAAGCACACGATAACAAAATATCACAATTTTCAATAACTAGAATCTTTGTGCAATAGAACAAAATAGAAACGTATTAGTTTGTTATTTTTATAACATAGCCGTTTATCTGAGTCTTACATGTAAAACTATATTATTTAAGTTGAATCGTTGATATAGCCGATAAACGAAATAATAGTTATTTGTCAGTTTCAGCGACGGTTCGTGAATTCCAGACCACTGATAAAAATTTATAAGAATATTTTAAAAGAAATTACTTTATTGTGTACAACAATTTCTGTAGAGAAAATAATGAACGATCTAAAACCGCACTCTGTTAACAACTACAAATTTCATTCAAATTAAACAAAAAAAGAAAGCGGGTAATCCCCTTAAATGAGTAGTTTCTGAATTGTTATTTAAATCATTTGATAAAGCCATCATTAATTATAGCAAAGTACCAGCACCAGTTACGTTTACGGCACGGGGACCACTTTCTACTGGCGACACCTGGCGACCTGCCGACGAACGTCACTTTATCACCTTCATACTAAATGATCTTTATGGCTAAAATTACGACTACGTGAAAATACGTAATACGCGGTCAAATAACGTAGTATCTTATGTAAGGTTATAAATAACGAAGGTTTTAACTTGTAACCTCTTATAGCACTCGGCTTATTATTTCTTATTTACTTTCTGTTACGATTTATTTTTGAAATAAACAAACAGCATATTTTATACCATGATCTACATATTTGAGAGTTTGTATTAGGCTAATAGCGCTTCTAGTGTGTGTTTGTGACAGCCTATTTGCTTTAGTTAACAAATAATGTGAAAACTACTAAGCTAGACTTTTAAACAGCGAATGTTTTTTTAATATAACTATTATTTGTTTAGTTGCGGCCAAGTCTAGCCCTTCATTACCTACCACCGTTAGACCAATCTCGACGGCCATCGATGACGGCTCTCGTTTTAAATTGTTACTTTGCGTCTGTAATTCAGTCGACATTGAGCTAAGTTCCTGGAAGTGATAATAGGTTATATACTTATAGAGGAGGCAAACAGAACTCCTTACGTGCAACAATGTGCGTTTTGTATAAAACGGTTTAATGTTAAGTGGTATTTCTTCATACAGATTAACATTATCGACTTTGAAGTAGGAACTTGAAACTGGGAAGAAATTGCATATTTTCATTTTGAAATTGCAGTAAATTGTAGGAAACTTTTAATAACGTTAAATATAGGCGGAGGATAATATAACTGTTTGACCACTTAGAAGGACCTATTAATGTTAAACCCGACTGCTACAAATGATAACAAAATCATACTAATATTATAAAAGCGAATGTTTAGATGGATGGATGTATGTTTGTTAGAGATTGTATCCTAAACGGAATTGGATAAAATTTGGTATACCTAAATGTAGAGGATAGTCTAGGAGAATACATAGGCTACTTACTTATGTTATTTTTTTAACTCCACGCTCGGAGTCGCGAGCGACAGCTAGTAATCAATAAAACCATGTTCACACTTTTTCACAATCAGTATTCATTTGTTTACATTTTCGTATAAGGCGTTACTGGCCAGCTGGTCCTCTTTAGCTACCAAAGAGGTCCAACGTCCTACACCCGCATTACTAAATTCACATGTTGTTAACTAACAACAAATAGCAGTCGTTTATCATATATTTATAAGCATCGGTATTTTTCTGTTAATTATATACTACAGATGTATTATGTAAGAAACGAAATTTAGTAAAAGTTCTAACGATTTGTTTCACACTGATGGTTCATTGGTTACGCAATTTAATATAATTTATGTTAATACCAATATATTTTGATTGCTTAGACATTTTGATTAAAAACCTTAGGAAGCTTACTATTCGTTTCGTCAACTTTATGGTAAAGTTAATTTTACATTTAATTTTATTACTTCTGTGGTAATATCGGGTGCTACATTTCAGATATGAAGTTATTTTTAGATTACAACAGAATAGGGATACAAGAGTTAACAAAAAATTCTATATATATATTGTGGTAATGTGTTCCAGCTGTTGTGCATTAGTTTAATGCAGATTTAATGCTGACATTTGCATTTAACTTTAATTTAATATGTGAACCTTAACCTACGAGAGCGGCCGCCGCGCCGCTCGCAACTCGAACTGTAACAAATTAACAATCACGAGTAAACTAACTTAGTAGTTGTGCGATATGTTGCTTTCAGGTGTCCGCACGCTCTAATGCGTATTTGGTTGTAATATAGTTCATTATAATTCATGTCAGAATAAGTCAAGGTAATATAAGATAAATTCACATTTGAATATTTTGCATTGTATTTATTTGTCAAATGAACATTATTACATTGTGCTATTTAAATAACAAAGCTTATTTAAACATAAAATAATATTTGCATTTTGTTTTTAATTTCAAACTCTACTAAATACTAAAAAAAGAAAGCAGTAACGTCCTACTAAAGTATACCAGCATTACAAAAAAATTCATGTTCGTTTATCTCCAGAATATCCGTATTTGACCCGCATTCTTAGTCACCTTCCTATCGTATTTCGTTGCTTTCCAATTATCATTTACATTTTGTTAAATTGTAACTATATTCAATTCATTATTCATTTTGGCACGAAGTTCATCAATTCAGACCGCATTTCAGTTACGTTGGTCACTTTTTAAAATCATCACTGTAGAAAATATTATACAGAATACCAGTATGGTAAGAGTACGGTAGTATTTTTTTATAATATGACGTAAGGTCACTGACCTTTTGAGCATTATGTTAACGACTTACGCGTGATAATGACCTGTTAGTGTAAAGGAAGAAATGAAAGTGCGCTTTTGATGAACGGCGAGATAGCTGACATCACCTCGTCTGATGCAAATTATGTAACAGTGGTATCAAATAATATTCCTATAGCGGTCAGATGGCTTGCGACTTTTCCCTAAAGTGTGAAGTCACTTATGTAATTCCATTATTATGAAGTAACGCATTATCTAGCATTACCAGTTCTTTGTTGTAGTTAGGTTTCAGTGGTTACGTTACAGAAAAAAACGACAATTTTATACTCTAATGTAGATGGAATAACTGTTACAATTTCCAAATTAAAACTTAGGTGTGTCTTTTCTCTTTTTATAAGATTTTTTTAAAGATAAGATTGACTATTTTAGAGTATGTCGCAAGATGATTTACGCTTTACACGCTACACTAAATTAATAAGACTTTAGAATAAAAATGATTTTGAGATGATATGTTGAGAATGTTAAGATTTTATCCTGGACATGTATGTTATACCTAATTACACGCTAAATGACATGGAATAGCTCGGAATGCGGAGTGGTACTCGTTAAAGCGCAATCTTTCTATCTTCTGTATCCAACACAATCAGGCGGAACTATCGCTTCCCACCGCAAGGGGGCGCGGGTGCACACGTCAATTCTCAGCTACAGTTTCCCGCCTTTTTGTCCGTGTCAATGACCTAGCCTGGCATAGCGGTCTAGGCTTGTAAAGATTCTTAGCAGCTAACGCTCAATTAGGTCTACTTGAAGAGACTTTAGATTTATAGCTTAGTTATTTATTACGTGATAAAATTCACCTTTAAAAGCTATGTTCAATTTAAGTTGTTTTTTGTTTATAGAAATAAAGTTACTAGCAATTAAGTTTTATTGACGTTCGTGTTTATTTAAGAGAAAGATTAAAACGGTGATTAATACTCTGGGTATTTACTGGAATTCTTTACTAAATTCCAGAATGTTCGAATGAATATCGCCATTTAACTACGTAAAAGTATGTAACTTGACTCACAAACTCTCACTTACTATACATATAAAATACCAAATGTAACTGATCTACGGCGCGGCGCTTTCTGTGGATTAGAACCTAGGTCATGAGCGAGGTACCTAGGCAACGTGATATGCATGCGGGGATAACGCCAGGGAAAGTGGTGTGACTGGTCAACGTGGGATTACGACTAGGGTTGTCAAAAAACAAATACCAGGGACTTTTGAAACTGTGAATTCTTTGTGTCAAAAAAGTAGAAACAAAAACATAAGGTGGCAACCCTAATTACAACTGGTTATAGCTGGCAAGTATTGACGCTTGTAAATATTTACTGCCAATTAAACAATCAGGTTTTTATATTCTTCGATGTTTTAGTTTCAAGTTATCAAGTTGATTAAATTATTTTGTTCTTGTCTTTAATACTTATTAACATAAATATTTAAATACTATACTTAAATTTTTTTTTGTTTATAATTTTAGATTGTTGGAAAGTTTATGGAGATTGAGAAAAATCAGGTAATCAGGTCTAACTATTAGTTTAAAAAACTAAATTTTATATCATACATTTAATATTGTGTGCAAATTTATTTATCAACAAGTCCCTACTTGTCATGCAGTTTGGTTTTCCGTAATTAAGAAACTTTGCTCGTTAAGTGTAACCAGTGGTACAGGAAAGTTGTTTACGCCCTTTCCGGTTAGCCCATAGCTTATGTCACACTGTCTGATAGTATAAATAACTTTTAGAGCATTTAATTGAAAGAAAACACAAGTTAAAATAACTAACTAAATTTAAGGTTATACTGTGTAGAACAGCACTTTATGTCTAAATTCGTCATTTAATTATTCGTTTATATTTCTCTGACTTCTTGTATTATTACCTTTCCTTGGAAATAGGGGTAAAAAATACCATAACACAAAGACTTCAATCAATTCTATAAGTATTGTTCGGTAAGTAAGACATCCCACGATCGACTTAACATTACAATGAAATTATACTATCAGGAATATCTTTATGACAATGTGTTAGAGTTCATATTAGTGTTTTGTAGTTGTAAGGTTAAGTGTGTATGGCACACATGTAAATGTGACAACGCAGCAGTTCTCTCGTGTTAATTGAATGTCTCGGTGCAGAGAAACCCATGGGAGTTGTCAGTTATCTTGCACCGTAGCGTAGGTCACGCCATCAGGCAGTTAGTCTCGATTTGCGAATGTCACATTAAGTCTGCCCTAGAAAGTTAACTGTGAGTATGATATATGGAAGTTAATTCGTTTAATTACTTGAACTCGAGTTTTAAGCTCTAGTTGGGGCTATTAAAGACTATAATAACTGTTCATTTATGGAGTATTTTGACACCAATGACGTGGTAGAGGGTTCGATTCCCGCCATTGTCATACCAATTGGAATACTCCTACATTATTGTTGTTGAGCCGAACAAAAATATACATAAATAATTCGCTATTTGCTATCACTTATAACTCTCACTATTTTTATTACTTATAATTATTATTTACTAGAAAAATAATACGACAAATCCCAGTAACTTGGTGTTTAGTTGTCAGAAAGTGACTATCTTTTGTATGTTAATCGACGTGATTATCAGAATGGACACTGACGTCTCAAGTAACATCTTTAGTTCGGAAACAATAGAAGAGAAAACTGGTCGAATAACACGACGTTATGCCTGGACAGGACAGGACACGAGGCGTGTGACACGACTCGGCTGAACTACCGATGACATGACTTTCTTTTTAAATGTTAACTACTTGCCAGTAATAATTATGGCTAAGCTAAATTAAGCTAAGTACTTCTGTTTAAAAAATTATAGTCCGCGGACACAAAGCATGTTTTGGTAAAGCTGGTCGTTTAAATATAAAAATATATTTATATGGTTAGCCCAAGACCAAAATTAAAATAGTCAAAGAAAAAGGCCGAGAAAGGTTAATTTTAAATAACAATTTTCATTATTCTGATCCTTGTGAAAACCAGTGAAAATAACAATTTCTCATTTTATCTATGATAAACACTAGTAAAGTAGGTAAGACAAACTAACTAAATAAGACGTTTTTTATTTTTAATTATAAGTAATAATTTAAAATTTTGGAACATATTTTCAACGGTCAACCACACATTTACCCGTTAATAAAATAACTGTAAGAAACATCTTCTCGAGAATATTAAAAGTGGGTTAACTATTTTTGGGGGAACCGTTCCGTATCGTTTCTGAGAACACCATGAATGTAGTTGAAATAACTACAGAAGAGTAATTTAAATAATATAAAAGTATACAGGCTTGTACTACGAGTATAATTAAACCATCATAGTCAACCACCGAAGGATTTGAACCTACATTTTATTAAGGGAAATAAAGTTTTAGTCAACCATTTTGGCCCAATGCGTTAACTTCAAACTTCTCAAATTCTTTTCTCAAATATATGCAATTTCATAAATTCTTGTCAATTATAGATACTAAAGAAATTTTTTAACAATTCATTGAACAAATTATCAAAGAGTTATCAAGTAATTGCTGTACCGTGATATTCAAATCTTGATGGCAATTAACATGACTTTCCTCGACAGTCACAGTTCAGTTAAATACCATACGACGAGCTTGACGTACGGGATTGAGTTCGTGAGATGCGCTCTACATGTTTCTCAACTGTGTCACACTATAAAAGTAATTTGAGGTATGTGCTTTGGTCATGGCGAATTTGTACCATCAATTTGAAATTCCAACATTTATTACAAACGTGAAACTTACAATTATTTATAAGAGAAATTGAAGTAAAATTGTGAAACATCGTATATCGTTCTGAGTTTTTAAATCAATTTTGTTATAGCTAAGTCATGATAACGTTCACTAGATCGCAGTTAACTTAATGCTTAACTTAAGCTATCGACGGCTAAGTCGAGGTCTATAAATATACAGCAACATTGCGGTAACCAGTGCAGATGTAATAGCATATAATCAAGTTGAAACAAAGAATAACTTAGATGATTATCGTTGCTTATTTTCATTTCTTTCCCTCTGTCTTGTAACCACACTGCTTTGTTTATTATAAACGATAAGGAAGTCTATACCGTAGGAACAACTATTAATTTACCATCTAAAGTTACTGGGTTTGAATTAGTTATTGTGGTTTCTTGTTATTCAAAATATTACGTAAAAAAAAGAAACTTCGAATTAAATTGGTTACCGTTGTCGTACCGCGTTTGTAGTAGAAGATACTAAAGTATTTATTTTGCAAGGCTGTCATTTTACTTAGACCCTATATGCAATGGGTTTAAATTAATATCGTTCTGCTCCGGTGAAAGTTTTGATAGCGTAGCGCGTAATGTTATGAACTCTTGGCCATAACTATAATAAAAAATGTGTAATAAAATCGTAAGTCTTAGTAATTAACATATTAATGTGGTCTATAGTTGTGAAAATTATTTGTCGAAGTGTTACGAAGTATCAAATACTACATCACGATCAACCGATGACTGTGATCAAATCACATTTGTCAAGAAACCGCAGATAACGATGAAAGTAATTTCAGATCTGTTTAAAATCAGCGACGCGAGAAATTTGTAAAACCAAGGTGAAGAAAGTGTATCAAAAATCATGTTCGCTCGCTTCTACAGATTTTCGCATAATAAAATATTTATTATAATAAAATATCTAATCGTGATATTTCAACACCATAATATACTTTTTATTATAAAATTTGTTTCATTCATTTTAATTCTAATTATCGTATAATTCCGGAAATTATATTTCTAAACATATGTAATTGTTATTACGAATTAATTAAAAAGTTGAGTGACTCACCACTGGTGTGCCTTACGGCGCTCATCAGCAATAACAACAAAACTTTAACCACCGCCATCATCACCACAGGTCAGTGGCCACCACACGCATGCCACCACAACACACCACAACACACACTGTCACCACAAACACACTAATACTGTCATGTCATGGCGCACAGTCCGATGGTAATATTGATCTGAAACAAATGACATAATACGTTAGGGAGATCTCGAAGAGGGGATAAGCATAAATAAAACATCAAAATGTTATGTAACATTCGAATATTATATTGACAAATATCTTAGATCCTGAAAAACATGAAATCATAGGTTCGAATATGCCAGTTGAGTACCACTTTGAGTTAAGCCAGTTGAGTTAACACCACAGCTAAATTATTATTGTTTACCATTTAATTTTAAAACCAACAAGTACTTTTGATGCATCACTAACTTATTCATCATTTTCAGTCTACTTATTAAAGAACGGGTCAAACCTAATCCGGATTTCTTTTGCTTCTAATCCTTCAAAAATAACTCTACTTGTTTTTATCCATGGAGGAAAACTTTTTACTCAATATGTAACATGCGAAACGCAAGTGTTCACGACTGAACAGTAAAAACTGGCTCAGACTGTACACGGAGATGTTACGACTGACCACTGGTCGTCCACGCATCCAACAATTATAGGCACGCGATATATTAACAGTAAATATAACGTTTGGGTTATGTTTACTTCCACTTAGTATTGATAAAACTTCATTTTTACAAATTTAAATGCAGAGAATACTTTTTAAAATAAAAGTTTACAAACATATATATATCTGTCCATAGACGTCGGATGAGTTAAGCTTCAATAAACATTAATAATATAACTATGTGTTTTCATAGTGTTTACTGTAACTCCTAATTTTATCGCATTCGTCATAGTGCGATTTCTATTGAGCTATTTGAAATGTGTCCAACCGCGTAATTTCACTATCGTTCATCGCAACAGAAATCCAAATACCATAGAGTACAACAAGACGTGGGGATTGGCATTCAAAGAATGACATTTTACTTGCTATTTTATTCTAAACACGGTCACCACGTGTTTTAGTTACCGTTCATACATTTGTAGGATATTATCCTAACATTTTTGACAGAATTCATGGCGATATCCGTAAATTAAAGGTATAAGAGTTAAGAGTAATGTTGAACAGAATAATTAACTGGCCCGATGAACCGTGCGCGTAACGGAGCGCGCTCGGTACCGCTGGATGGCAGCACCGTGCCCCTCCCCCTCTCCCTGCGGTGCATCTCGTTATACGTAAACTATTTATACTAGCTACAAACTGCAATTGTGGTAAATATCGTATTAAATTTAATTGCCCATTGACAGTTCTCTTCGTATTACTCTTTTGAGCGAGACATTTAAAAAAAATATAATATAATTCCACGCGACAAATATCAAAAATTCTTTGTAAATTATATGTAAGTGGATGATGAGACACATATCGTTTAATTAACACCTAATTTCTTCCAGAAATAAATAACGAATTTAAAAGCGTAGACAGCCTTAGACATTTAATACAAGAAAGCAATAAGTAAAACATTCAAAATTTTCTTTTTAAATTGAGTCTACAATATTATTTTGCATAAATAATTTTGTATATCGTAATAGACGTAACGTAATTGTGCTAAATGTTCACAAGAGGGCATTGTTAGCGCGGTTTCGCGGCGCCGTTAGATCTAAAAGTGCTGGCTAACGCCGCAGAATGACCAATCTTTTCCGCCAGTCTTCAATTAATTGTACACTGTATTACGCTATATTAACTAAGTTGCTTTCGAAGTGTTATTTGAAATAAAATAAAACGAAAGCGTGATAGACAGAGAGTAATGCTGTAATACCATTTGATTTGATTACACAAAGCTTTATGAAACGCATTACTTCTGTCTTGAGTTACAACTCCTTTAGATTTATTTTATTTTACTATTCTTATTAACTCACTATACACACTTTGACATATATTCTAAAATAAAATTGTTTCTAAAAAAAAACACTACTTAACTAAGTAATAGCTTAGCTTCATATAATCCCATACGTTCTATTTTGACACATTCTTACCGCCTAGCGTTTTCGCGTCCGTGCGAACGCTCGCTATCTGTTTATAAAGGGAGTATAATTCTAGAATTACTTAGTATGTAAGCTTATTATTATTGCTGGCTGAAATTAGGTTTGTACATTTTTATAATGCACTTATATTGAAAGTTTATCATTTTAATAACAAATTCAAGCTAAGATCAAAAACTGAAAATATAGAACTTCGAAAAAGGTAAATCTCAGGAATTATGTCTAATTAGATTTGCAACAAAAATTATTTTGTATGAAAGAGGTTGTAGGTATATGTAGTGAGATTATAACAAGACTTTCCTTTTCCTTACAATGATGTAATAATTATTCACATCGTATTAGCAGAACCCGATATTTAAATTTAGTTCCGTTACGATCTTATCTGCGATTTATTCAAAAAACCATTAAAATGCGACTTTGCTTGCTTTCGCGGCAGTTAGGGCCTTTTTCGTCATTATAAGGTTTTACGTAACTTTTATTTCTATTTCGAGTTACCAAATTAGGTATTTAATTTGCATTTTTGAATTTGGAATAGATTTTGAATTTCGAATAGGATGTTACGCAAGATGTCAAAACATTGCTTTTATCTGTTGGTTTTTTAGATTCGCAGATTATTATTTTTTTAGACCTAAATAACAAGAGCATCTAGAATTTCAAAACATCTGCTTATTCGGGGAAAAACGTTGCAACGGACGATATTTTTCAGTTACAAGGTTCGGTCAGTGGATGCAGATATATCAATCTTATTTTCTTTATACAAAAACCTAGTGGAAATGTTATACAACATGCAAATATTATAACAGGAAGAAAATATCTAGCACACGCAAGCCCTGCCAATAATTACTTCAATTGTAGCTAAATTACAACAAAAACAAATTACGTTGTGAAACGAAAGTTTTTGTTTCCATCTGTAGCAATTGTTACATTTCAGTATTATGTAGTTTCGAATGTAAATAAACCTATATTATAGTACGTAAAAATATTTTTTGACTACAATTCGTCAACAAAAAATAATAGTAAAAATTACTCCTGCACACAATTAACCCCTCAAAATCGGTTCACACATTTCGGATATCACACAATCCGGGATAAAAGCTGATTTGCGGACAGACAAAAATGTTTAGAAATTAGATAGTTGTTATAAGCAAACACAACATATTTTTTTTTAAATTGTATTGATTGTTTATCAATATAAGTTATGTTCTTATACCTTCGCTGTGGCAAAACCATGAACCCGCATGAAGTGCACTCCTAAACATATTTCCGTAAAACGCGGTAGATCTTTTTCCCACCGGGCCGAAAAGGACCTGTTATGTTACGCAGAGCATGTATCAAGTTACCGCAAGATTCTACTGGGTATGGACCTGTAGGAATATATGTTATTTGTTTGGTCTATTCAACAAGTATGAGCGAGATAGATAAATATGTTTTCATACAGGTTTTTGGCAAAGATTCTACATATACATAGTCTATATTATGTGCATGATTTTAGATAAATTTATCTATACAAATTCATACAGAAGTACAGAATAGATTAATTAATTTAGACGTTCTAACCTCAAAATATAAATAGTCGATACTGATGCGAATGTTTTGGCGGGAAATAAATTGACTACGCGTAAGCTACGTCTTTGAGTTTCAATGTTGGTATTAATATGATGTGCATAAAAAACGTAAAAAAGTGTTTTCGTCTGTCTGGTTACTTTAAATTGTGATATGCGAAGATAACATGAGAAATTGCGAATTCTAATGGAAATAACTATAAAAGCATTGATATTAACAGGATGTTAACACAAATTACATTAATGTTGAGAAAGTTTTTACATGTGGCGCATTAATAAATATAAAATAATGAAGTCTTAAACAATAAAAGTCCGATGAAAGTGTCAGTGAAAACATCAAAATAACAACTTACCACAACAAAGCAATAATATCCACACAACAAGCGCGTTTATTTCAATAACACGTGCGACTGAAGCTTCACTAAATTTGACATAAATTTCTTAAGTCAGAAAGCGTCAAATTTCTCGTAATCGGAATATCCGATGGCACATTAACCACGTGTTGTGAGGACAACGTTCAAGAGGCGACTGACGTGCTAGAAGCAGCCTCCGTGGTACATCACCTGTTACCCGCGACTGCCCCTTTCTTCGTGTTTGTCTGTTGGCGTCAAGTTGAATGTTAGCTCGCTAAAGAATTTGCTGAGTTACTTAATTTATGACGCGAGTAATATAACATCTCTCTTGTGTGCTGTTTGGATCTATTAATTATGTACTTTATTGCATTGCACAATGTACTACGATTGTATTAAATTTAGATTTATCATCAAATTAAAAAAGTATTCCACATTATTGAAAAGTTGAATTAAGAAGCGCACAGCTTTGTCTATCGCAGAACTGTTGTGCGATTGTCGATTGTTTCGCATCCCATTCAACTGTTTAGTTGTACAACTAAAAATCGTGTTATGTACGCACCCCCATATAAGGTCATTGGAATCACAGTGCGACTAAACAGTTGTGCGATAATTTAACCAAAAGTGTGCGCGCTCTAAAAGTAGAGACAATGTGTTAGTTTTGATCTTCAATTTAGTATCAAAGCGTTGCAAAGTTAAAATAACCAATTTTGCGAATCAGAGAAATTAATAAAAATTATGTAACTGAATAATCACGTTAATTAAAATTTTCCTGTGAGCTATTTTCACGTAATGCGTAGCGTTTTCGATTTATCGCGTATAAAATCGCAATAAACCGAGTGCGGTCAAACTGGTCCGGTGACAACCCTAGCGTTACTGATTAGCCAACTGTAGCTAGGGCTGTCTTAGATTTAGAAATGAAAAAAAATGTAACAGAATAAGTTCGAAGGAAGGTTCTTACTAAGAATTAACATTAATTTTGACAAAATAATAGTTTACAATTATTTTCAAGATTCGCTCATTTACAACTTACACTAACTTTTATTTTAGGACTAGCTGTGCCCATGCGGCTTCATCGGCATGAAATTATGAAAATTTTATTTTATTGTTTACATTTGTCAAATTATCAATAACAAATGTCAAAATGACACGACATGATGACAACCTTGCTTCCTTGATGTTGGCAGCAACTTATGGTCTCTTTCCCACATTAGGGTTTTTATGCAAAATATTTACCCCCTCAGTTTAATGTCGTGAAAATATTTAGCCTAAAGCGTGACGTAAGTGTAGGGCTTTTTATTAAAATAATAATTATTTAAAAATATGTTGTAATCGCTGACATCTTAGGCAACAAAGTGTGTGTTTACGCTTTATTATAATAGTATAGATTAGGAAGTGTATAGTAAATAACGGGACGAGTGTTTGTAGGGCAATGGCTGAGAAAGCGATACAGTACATAATTACAAACAGAGGATCTATGTACATTTATATTATGTATATGTATGTCGAACAGTTCTCACGTAATCGTTACAAGTTGATGCGATTTGCATCTTCTTAGAATTGCATTTAATATGTCTGTTACTTAGTTTTTATGCATTTGTGTTGAAAAGTTATCTGTAAATAGAATTATGAAGTATTCTTCATAGACAGTATCTATTATTATGTCAACTATTAGATTAGTGGTAAGCTAGTGTGAATTCGGTTGTGTACGTGTACTTACAACCAATCGAATGTTTTGACCTATTTTTTAATATTGGTATAATGCTACTTAAATTGGAGTTAAGCATAATTTTAATTAATGCAAAAAACACTTTCTATTTTTCATTTTTGTATTACTTACCATAAATCGTAGGAGGTTCAAACGAGAGAGCCAAAAATCAAACGAGATTTTTGGCTTACATATCGAGGCATTTAGAAATGTCTCACATAATTCGATTATATGTCTTTTATGGTAGGCCATTTAACTTGTAATATTATATCACTTTATATAATCGATTTCCATAGTTTGACGATAATTCAATGGCAACGATACAAGCCGCATATTAAATTAGATAAATTTCTCCGACGCAAACTTTTACAAAAATTTGATTCTAAATGACTTAAGTTACACATTTCTCGACCATTAAGTGTTGTGTAACATGTCGCGTGTACATCACAACTTGTTTTAAATGTATCAAATCGTGTCAGAGGATGATATTTGAAGACCCAAATTTTAGTTTCGTAATTTGACAGTTTTATGATAATGTTTTTTTTTTTTATAAATGATGATTTTTTTCGAAATTCGAGCCGATTTTGACTATCACTTTATTGCCTAATCATGTGTTATTTAAAACGCCATTAAGAAATGTCCATTTTACGCAATTAATTTCTTGAATTACTTGATCGTAGCGCAAAGGTTGTGTTAAGATGGAAATCAAGGAATGATTTGGAGGAATCCGTTCTCAATGAGTAATTCCTGAATAACTTTCATTCTTCAATGAATGAGTTCATACACATTGCAGTCAAACTCGCATTTGTCAAATAATTACATCAATTCAGAGTATGCTCCCTTACAAAGGCTGACCGACTGAGATCGACGTTTACGATGAATCCATTGATTCCGTGTAAAAGTAAATAACAATAGAATAATGAACAATTAGATACGCATATGTTAAGAAATATTTTATTGTCTTATCCATGTTTTTACTTATAATCTTAAATTGATTTATACTTTCCCAAATAGAACAATGATCTCGGAAGAACATTTCAAAAACTTCAATCTTTGATATATGTACCAATTTTCATGTAAAGATAATTGTCCAATATATTTTAGTAGTAAGTAAAAACGGAAGTCATTGCATTTCTATCACAGACTTCTCTAACATCAAACGCATTGTAAAATAACAAAAGTCAGTTTCGTTTGTAATTAAAACCGTGTCAATGACTCGGTCGACACCGAGCGGCGTCAGTTGGATACAGTGCTATGCAAACTTTATGGCGGCTCGGATATAGTACGAGGCACTCAACACTGAAGTATCAGCGGAAAATTATACAAATGCTTCTACAATGCGTCGAGCAGTTGTAAAGTGTGAATTTCATAATACTTTTGTGTTTATGTGTGGAGCGACATTTCATTAAGTAGTTCCGGCCGGTAGCGGCAGGGGCGCTGACGTCGCGTCACTGTGAAGACGCGACTAACACTTTTACTTTCCCATGTGGAGTGGTCGCGCAGTGGGTCGGAGGTTATGTCAGTGTAGCGTAACTCTAACGATTTGAGACTTTAACATGTCTGCGTAAACTGGTTTATTAGTGCTTTGTTATGATTTTATAGTAAAGTTTTCATGTTATTTAATATATTAAAGTGAAATCAATTTTTTTAATACATTTATAATTAAAATCTGATTGAACAATGCACTCGTGCGCAGCAAATTGTAAAAAAAATTACACCTGATATTGAAATTAATCATAACCTTTTGACTTTTACTTCGGCAACAGAAATAAAGAAACTCAAGCTTTGCTTACAACATTCCATAATCAGTTTCATCAGATCATTTCGAATCAATTTCAAATCTTAACAAAATTAATCGGTTCATTTTTCTTTGGTTCATGTCGCAATTGTTATTATTATAGCTCTAATGTGCTACCTGCGATGTCAGCGCCATCTCGTTATAATTTATTTTCCATTTGCTGAAGTACTAATGACTGTATTTGATAGATCGTGCTCGCAGCGCAATTATTTTTATTTAATTTTGACACATCAATATTGACCGAATTTAAATTGAAGAATATGTATTTGCATAACTGACATTCTTATCGTATTGCCCAATGTATATGTAATGCACAAGGCTAGGTTTCCTTGCTTGCTTTTACTCTTACATTGTTCTACCTTTTTTAAGATTGCTCCTTTATCCCTTTGGGGCAAACTAGCAGCGGAACACCGAGGTGGTCTTCGACTCCAATGGATATCCGCAATAGCAGAGGAACTGCAAAAGCGTTCCATTTGAGAACGTGATTACGCTCGTTTCTTGGAGGAAATAAAGTCGTAGTGATTCCACAACGCGGCTGAAAGCACACGGTTGAGGGATTCCAATCATAGAGATGGTGTGGTTTAATTAAAAACACATAATTGGTGTTGTTATTTATCTAAATAAAATATGTTGGCAACATTTGGATGTGTTTATAAATATGTTATACATCTCAATCATCGACTGGACGATTACATTTTTTATCGTGGTACAAAATTGTCGGCGTGTCTAAAGTTTAACAAGTCGCTCGACTCTCCACGCTGCGCAGCCGCACATCCGACTTAATGTAATTTTAATTGATCCGCGGACTTTAATCGAGTGGAGATTATCGACGGCGATTGCGATATGTTTCGCGTTTCGTTATGTTGCCATCGGAACCGAAGCCGCGCTGATTGACGGCTGTCGGTCGCTGCGGCTTATGTAAATAGGTCACCAGAATGACGTACAGGTATACATTACCTTTAAATGTTAACATGTAAAGTATACCTATTTACATTTATATCCACTTGTAGGAAAAGCGTTAGAACAACTCTACCACCAATAATCTCTTCCCACTTTTCAGCGCGTAGACATCTTGACGCTTGATGTTTTAAATTGTTTTTATTTTCAAGAACACATGCTTGAAATTACATTAGGATCAGTGAAGGAGTATGTTGCTTAATAGACTGTTGTCAGGGAATGAGTTCAAAAGGAAAACATCATGCGTTACGTCCATCAACGCTTTACATAACCGAGGGCTGGTCTGCGACTGTCTTCAGCAATCAGACGCACAATCGTGCGACCAGTCGCGTGTGTCGCTCGTGTAATGTCACCCTAGTGACGCAACATTTACGCAAGTGATGAACCTTTCCAATTGCATTGCTGTGTTTACGATCATTGGTTATTAACGTTTGATAGCTTATTAGTTGCAGCAGTACTAACCTACTGTTTGATGCGCCAATTAACTGACAGATTAAAATAGAGTGACCAAACAAAAGTTCGTAAATTTAATATGAAACCTTTGATTCGTCTGTTTTCGTAATCTACTTTATTACAGCTATTTATTAAGCTAGCACACGCCATCTTTCGACTGCATCACCACTTTCATTAAGTGCTAACTAAACTAAGATACAAGAACTAAGACAATCTAATTACTAAGACCTAGGACATTCTTTCATCGATACGTTCTATATCTCTTAATGTCTATCGTTGCTCTTAAGTCAATACGCAA